GGGGAACGTGGGGGGGACAGGGGGGGACATGGGGGGCACACGCCTGGGGGGATGGGAGGCATGGAGAATATGGGGGGGACATGGGGGGCACACACCTGGGGGGATGTGAGGGGATACAGAGGGGAATTTGGGGTACATGGGGGAGGAAATGGGGACACTGGGGAGGAGCACGGGAGGTCCCAGGGCTGGGGTGACCCCGTCCCTGTCCCCATCCCATTAGGTCGGGACCATCCTGAAGCACCTGTTCCCTGTTCCCCGTCCCGACAGCCGCCGCGTGGTGACCTTTGCCAACGAGGATGACGTCATTTTAGTGCGGTGGGTGACACGTGGGGACACGGGGACATGGACAGACCCCACCTCCGAGCCCCTCTGACCCCCCACTCCCCACAGGAACCACGTGTACCGGCGCCGGGGACGGACGGTGGAGCTGGAGGAGGTGGGACCCCGCTTCCAGCTGAGGCGTGAGTGTCCCCTGCTGTCCCCAACAGCCCTAAAAGTCCCCCTGGTGTCCCCAAATGTCCCAACAAACCCCCCTGTGTCCCCCCCCAGCCTACCTGATCCGCCTGGGCACCCTGGAGCAGGGGGACGCGGCCGACGTGGAGTGGCGCTGGCACCCGTACACGGCCACGGCCCCCAAGCGCCGCCTGCTCAGCGCCACCTGAGCCCCCCAGCACCCCCCGACCACCGGGAGAGCCCCCCAGGTGGGGCCCACCTGCACACCTGAGACCACCTTGGCAGCTGGGACCCCTCTGGACTCCCCCAGGAACAGCCGGGTCTCTCACAATCACTTTTTATTTGTTATAATAAATGATTTTTTTTCTATATTGGGCTCGGTAAGGATCAGCCGGGTTCTGCTGCAGCCCCTCCTCTGTGGTGGGGAGGGGGCCCAGGGATCCGGACCCCCCCTCACACCCGGGACCACTCGGCTGGGGGGTCCCGCGGGCCCTTGGGCTTCCCAATGCGGAAGTTAAACCCTGGGGGGAGGAGCAGGAGGTCAGTAACGGGGGGCCTGGACATTGATGCCCCCCCGAACCCCCAAACCCTTTCCAGACACCGAGACCCCCCCCAGGACACCAGGGACCTCCCCCCCATGCTCACCCAGGCAGGGGCCGCTGCCAGTGTCCGTGGGGGGGGTCACAACCTCATAGGCGCCATCCGTGGGTCTGGGGGAGCCTGAGGGGGGGACCAGGGTCCGAATTATCGGTCCTGGGCACCCCTGAGCCCCCCAAAACATGGGGGACCCCCCAAACCCCCCCACTCACCTGCCGGGCTGGGGGAGGGGCGGCGCACGGGGCTGCCCGGCAGCGAGCACGTGCCCGAGGGGGCGGAGTCTCGGCCGAAGGGGGCGTGGTCTCTGCCCAAGGGGGAGGGGCCTCTCCCCGCGGCCCCGCCCCCTCGGCGGGGCTTGTTGACCACGGCGTAGGTGACATCCATGGCGGGGGGCGCGGGGGGCTCGGCCGGCACCGAGACGCTCCTGGGGGGGCAGGGGAAGGGGCGGCGAGGGAGGGGACACCTGGCCGGGTCACCTGTCCCCGCTGGGAGCACTCACCTGAGCAGCGTGGGCCGCAGAGCCCGGCGGGCGACGGCGTCCTGGTACAGGGGGGGCTGGGGAGGCAGAGGGTCACCTGCGACCCCCAAACTGGGGCTGCCGGAGCTCCCGTGTCCCCCCAAACCTCTGGGGGCCCCCTGAGCTCTTGGGGTCCCCCCCGACCGGTCGGGTCCCTCCTTTCACTTCCCCTTTCCGGGGGCAGGAAGTGCTGAGCCGCCTTCGTGCCCCCACCCCGCCCCGGATGCCCGCGGCCCCCCGAGCTCGGGGCTGGCCCCCCCCCACCCACAACAGGACCGGGGTCCCCCTCTCACCTGGACCCCGCGGGCCAGGCTGAGGTGGCCGGGGGGCGGTGGAGGCGCCATGGGGGTCCAGGTGGGTCTCAGGTGTGAGGGGCACGGAGGGGACCTGGGGGGTTTTCAGTGCCCCGGGCCCCGCCCCCGGCTGGAGCCCAGCCCCTGGGCTGGAGCCTAAAGCTGCCCTGGGAATTCCCTGTGGCGCTCTGGGGGGGCTCCTGTGGGACCCTATGGACACTGCAGCGTCTGCAGGGGCTGTTCTGGGGCTCTCTGTGACTTCTTAGAGAACCTATAACCCCTGCAGCGAGTCTGGGGGGGCTCAGTAAACCCTACAGAGCCTCTGTAGAGAATTTGGGTGCTCTTATGGACTCTAAAGGGTCCCCTAAAGCTCTTGGGGTGCCTACAGAGCTCCTGGGGTCCCCTGAAGCCGCCCTGGCGCTCCTGTGGCTCCCGGAGCCCGCCCGGGAGGCGCTGAAGGCGCCGGGGGCCGGGCAGGAGGGGTCACACGGAGCCTGGGGAGCCCCCAAACCTTGAGGGGTCCCCGATGGCCCCGAGGGGGCGGGGCCGGGCCCCGCCGGGATCGCGCCGGCCCCGCCCCGCGCCACGAGCTGCGCCCCGCCCCGCGTGACGTCATGAAAGGGGTGGAGCGGGAGAACCCGCCAAAAAAGGCGTCGCCCCTTAGGCCCCGCCCCGCGCCCGCTGATTGGTGGCAGCGCGGCGGCCGCGCGGCGATTGGTGGAGGCGGCGGCGCGGTGACGTCACGGGGCGCGCGGCGCGGCGGCCCCGGAAGCGGCGGTGGCGGCGGGAGCGGGAGCGCGGCCGGTGAGCGCGCGCGGGGCGGGGACAGCGCGGGGGCGGGGCCAGGGGGCGGGGCCCGGTGGGGAGGGGGCGGCCCGGGGGCGATCGCCGGAGGGTGGGACTTAGTGAGGGGGCGGGGCGGCCCCGGGGCGCGGTTGATGTGATTTGGGGCGGGGCTATCGTTTTGGGGGCGTGGTTTAACTGTGGGGGCGTGGCCAGAGAGGCACGCGTGGGGTGTTCCGGGGTGAGGGTCGGTGGGGGCGTGGCCTATAAAACCACCAGGGCTGGGGCGTACCGAGTGGGACTGGAGGTGTGGCCGCAAGGTGTGGATTGGGGTGGGTGTGGCTTGTGGAGCCACGCCCCTGGTGACCCCACCCCACCTCCCCCACCTGCCAGCACCCAGGACCCCTGACCCCGCCCTTGGACAGGGCAGGGTGGGGCAGGGCGGGGCAGGAACAGCACAGGCACCGCCCCGGCGCCCCCTGCTGGTCACAGGTGAGGCAGAGATGGAGCCAGGGAGGACAGTGGACACGGCGTCCCCGAGCTGCCACCACAGCGGTGAGGATGAGGAGGAAGATGTGACAGCAGTGGCAGCCATGGCATCATCCGTGTGTCACCCTGCTGGGAATGAGGAGGAGGAGGACAAGGAGGTGGCAGCAGTGGTGACAGCCACAGTGTCCCTGGGGTGCCACTCCAGTGAGGAGGAGGAGGAGGAGGAGGTGGCAGTGGCCATGACACCCCAGGGTGGGCCATGTGGCAGGGATGAGGATGTGGTGACAGCAGTGACAGCGGAAGCAGCCACAACGTCCCAGGACTGTCATCCCGGTGAGGAGGAGGAGGTGACCACAGCAGGGACATCCCTGGGGTGTCCCCCACTTGGGGATGAGGAGGAGGAGGAGGTGACCACAGCAGTGACATCCCCGGGTGTTCAACCCAGTGAGGAGGAGATGACCATGGCAGCAACGTCCCCAGCACGGCCTCCTGTAGGGGATGAAGAGGAGGTGACAGCAGCAGTGACATCCCCAGAGAGTCACCCCAGTGAGGAGCAGGTGATGGCAGCAGTGACATCCCCAGTGTGTCACCCGGGCGAGGAAGAGGAGGAGGTGACGGCGGCGGTGACGGCAGCGGCGGCCACGTCGGCCCTGGGCGGGCGGCGTGGCGCAGACGAGGACGTGGCGGCCGCGGGCTGGCGAGCGCGGCGCAAACACGTGTTCGTGCTCAGCGAGGCCGGGAAGCCGATCTACTCCCGGCACGGCAACGAGGAGGCGCTGGCGGCCACCATGGGTGTCATGATGGCCCTCGTGTCCTTCATCCAGAGCGGCGGCAACGCCATCCGCGCCATCTGCTCCGGTACGGGACCAGCGGGGGGTGGAGAAGGAACCCCTACATTTAGACAGACGCACCTGTGGGTAACCCCAAATCTGCACAGCCCCGCCCCCAGGTAGCCCTGAAACAGCCCCCACAGGTACAGCCATCCCTGCTCCAAACAGCCCCCTCCAAACACAACATCCCACCCCCAAAAGCACCTCTCCCAGGTACAGCTGAATCTACCAAATCAGCCTGCCCAGGTGCAACCAGCCCCCCTAAACTCTCTTCCCACCTAAACCCCTTCCTGGGTCCTACCACCCCGCTAAAAACCTTCCTGGTACAGCCACTCTCCAAAAACAACACACCCCAAAACAACACCCCTCCAGGTACATCTGTCTGCCCGAAAACCGACTTCCCCCCGCCTCCCTCCGTGTCCCCCCGCCCCGTGTGACCGCCGTGTCCCCTCTCTCCCCCGCAGAGGACCGCACGCTGGTGTTCGAGCAGCGGGGCCCGCTGCTGCTGGTGTCGGTGTCCCGCACGCGGCAGTCGGCGGCGCAGCTGCGGCGGGAGCTGGCCTTCGTGCACGAGCAGATCCTGTCGCTGCTGACCCGCGGGGGCATCGCCCGCGTCTTCGCTCGACGCCGCGGCTTCGACCTGCGCCGGCTGCTGGCGGGCGCCGAGGCCGTGCTGGACCGGCTGCTCTGCGGGGCCGCGGCCGACGGGCGGCTGCTGCTGGGGGCCGCTCGCTGCCTGCCCCTGCCCGGGGGGCTCCGCCGCGCCGTGTCCGGGGCGCTCCGCCGCGCCGCCGCCGCCGCCCGCCCCGCGCCCGCCCTGGCCGTGCTGGCGGCTCGGGGCCGCCTGGTGACGGCGGCGCGGCAGCGGGCGCTGGCCGAGGGCGGGCGGCTGTGCGCCAGCGACCTCCACCTGCTGCTCAACCTGCTGGGCGGCGGGGCGGGCGCGGGGGCGGGCGAGGTGTGGACCCCCGTGTGCTTGCCCCGTTTCAACCCCGACGGGTACTTCTACGCGTACGCGGCGCGGCTGGGCGAGGAGGAGGAGGAGGAGGAGGGCGTGACGCTGATCCTGCTGTCCACGGAGCGAGAGGGGTTCTACGCGGCGGCGGCGTGCCGGCGGCAGCTGGAGGACACGCTGCGGGCGCAGGGCTGGCTGGCCGAGCTGGCGGCGGCCGTGCGAGGGGGAGCGGGGTACGGCCCGTCCCGCCCCGGTGCCCCCGAGCTCCGGCACTTCCTCTACAAGCCCTTGGAGGGGCCGGAGGAGATGCAGCAGCTGCCGCAGTTCACCAGGTGGGCGGGGATGGGGGGGACACGCCAGAATTGAGGGGGTTGGGGGTGTCCCTGACCTTCACCTGACCTCCGTGTCCCACTTCCCTCACCTGGGGGACTTCCCTGGCTGCAGCCCGGAGCTGGAGGAGCCCTACACCAGCGAGGAGGAGCAGCACCGGCTCTTCGACCTGTACCACTACCTGCACAGCCGTGTGCACAGCCCGCACCGGCCCCTGCGCCTGCTCTATCACGTAGCTGAGAAGGAAACGCTGCTGGCCTGGGTGAGCCGTGGGCAAGGAGCCGTCAGCAGGGCCCAGAGCCAGCAGCACGGGGTTTGTGCTGTCCTGAGAAGATTCCAGAGTTAGCGGGGGCCTCTGGCTGGTGGTGCTGTCAGTAGATCCCACGATTAAGAGGGTGCTTGGTGTTAGTGGGGTCAGTAAATCCCACGATTAATGGGGTTCTCACTGGCAGTGCCGTCAGTAAATCCCACAGTTAATGGGATGCTCAGTGTCAGTGCCATCAGTAAATCCCACAGTTAACAGGATGTTCACTGGCAGTGCTGTCAGTAAATCCCACAATTAATGGGATGCTCGTTATCAGTGCTGTCAGTAAATCCCACAATTTTAACGGGATGCTCGGTGTCAGTGCCATCCCACAATTAATGGGATGCTCAGTGTCAGTGCTGTCAGTAAATCCCACAATGGGATGCTCCCTGGCAGTGCTGTCAGTAGATCCCAGTTAATGGGATGCTCGGTGTCAGTGCTATCAGTAAATCCCACAATTAACGGGATGCTCGGTGTCAGTGCCATCCCACAATTAATGGGATGCTCATTGGCAGTGCTGTCAGTAAATCCCACGGTTAATAGGCACGGATTCCCACAGGTGACCAGCAAGTTCGAGCTGTACAGCTGCTTCAGCCCGCTGGTGACGAAGGCGGGCGCCATCGCCGTGCTGACCAAGCTGCTGCGCTGGCTCAAGAAGGAGGAGGACTGGCTGTTCATCCGCTACCCGGCACCGTTCTGCGCCGCGCCCGCGCGCCCCGATGGGCCCGAGCCCGAGGGCTGACAATAAACACTGAGACCAAGGGGAGAGTCCTGAGTCTGGGGGGACTGGGGGGTGAGGGGACACGGCCTGAAGGGTGAAGGGTTGGGGGGACATCCTGAGGGATGTGGGGACAAGGGACATCCTGAGGGGTGAAGGGATGGGGGACATCCTGAGGGGTGATGGGACATCTTGAGTTATGTAGGGACAAGGGAATCCTGAGGGGTGGGGGAATGCGGGGACATCCTGAGGGATGAAGGGATGGGAGGACATCTTGAGGGATGTGGGGACAAGGGACATCCTGAGGGGTGAAGGGATGGGGGAATATCCTGAGGGGTGAGGGGATGAAGGAAACAGGGAGAGGAGATGAGAACAGCAACAGAGTAGGGAGAAAAGGGAACCAAAAATGACAGGAATGAGGGAGAGAAAATGGGGAGAAAACCTGAAAGAAAAGGTGGGTAAGAGCAGACAGTAAAGAGCAGACAGCAAAGAGAGGGATGAGAGGACAGAAATCAGTGGGAAAACATGTGAGGAAATGGTGGGAAAATGTGACAGGAAGGGCTGGAAGAAGTGACAAGAAACGGAGGGCAAAAATAGACGGGAAAGGGAGCAGGAAAGAGGGAAGAGAATATGATGGAAGAAGTGACAGATTGGGGGTGAAAAGGGGACAGAAAACGACATCAGGAAGGGAGAGAAGCAGCTGGAAAAGGGGACAAAAATTAAGGCAAAATGTGGATGGAAAATGGTGGGAAGATGTGATGGGGAAAGGTAGAAAAATGTGAGAAAAAAAGGGTGGGAAAACATGAGGGGAAAAGGTGGGGAAATGTGAGGCAAAAAAGTAGGAAATTAGAAGGGAAATGGTGTGAAAATGAGGGGGGAAGGCAGGGAAACATGAGGGGGAAGGGTGGGAAAAATTAGGGAAAAAGCAGGAAAATGTTAGTGGGAAAGGGCGGGAAAAGGGTGGGAAAACGTGAGGGGAAAAAGGCAAAAAAACATGAGGGGAGGAAAAAAGGCAGGAAAACGTGAGGGGAGAAAAAAGGCGGGAAAACGTGAGGGGAGGAAAAAAGGCGGGAAAACGTGAGGGGAGAAAAAAAGGCGGGAAAACGTGAGGGGAGGAAAAAGGCGGGAAAACGTGAGGGGAGAAAAGAAAGCGGGAAAACGTGAGGGGAGAAAAAAGGTGGGAAAACGTGAGGGGAGAAAAAAAGCGGGAAAACGTGAGGGGAGAAAAGAAAGCGGGAAAACGTGAGGGGAGAAAAAAGGCGGGAAAACGTGAGGGGAGGAAAAAAAGCGGGAAAACGTGAGGGGAGGAAAAAAAGCGGGAAAACGTGAGGGGAGGAAAAAAAGCGGGAAAACGTGAGGGGAGGAAAAAGACAGGAGAACGTGTGGGGGAAAAGGGTGGGAAAACCTGAGAAAATAGGAAGGATAGCAGCTGAGAAAGCTGCAGAAAGAAGGTGAGGGCAAATGGGGGATGAAAAGGGACAAAATGTAAGGACACAAGACAGAAGGGTGTGAAAAGAGGACTGGAAAGAGGGTGTGGGTGACAGAAAATGGAGCAAGAGGGAAATGAGGGACAGAAATGAAAGGGACAGAGGCGGCAGGAACTGGAGGAAAGAGGTGACAGGAATGGGAGAAACCCTGGAGAAAAGAGATAAGGAGGGAGGAAATGGTGAAGTGTGACAGAAAATGTGGGGCTGAGGGCTGGAAAAGGGGAACTAAGAAGACGACAAAGGTGACAGGAGGGGACAAACCAGTGCCCACCATCATCATCTGCTGTGTCCCTACCGTGTACCCCTGTGTCCCCTCCATGTACCCCTGTGTCTCCGCTGTGTACCCTTGTGTCCCCTCCATGTACCCTCTGTCCCCTCCATGTACCCCTGTGTCCCCTCCATGTACTCTGTGTCCCCTCCATGTACCTCTCTGTCCCCTCCATGTACTCTGTGTCCCCTCCATGTACCCTCTGTCCCCTCCATGTACCCTTGTGTCCCCTCCATGTACCCTGTGTCCCCTCCATGTACCCCTGTGTCCCTACCATGTACCCTGTGTCCCCTCCATGTACCCTGTGTCCCCTCCATGTACCCTTGTGTCCCCTCCATGTACACTCTGTCCCCTCCATGTACCCCTGTGTCCCCTCCATGTACCCCTGTGTCCCCTCCATGGTACCCCTGTGTCCCCTCCATGTACCCTCCGTCCCCTCCATGTACCCTCTGTCCCCTCCATGGTACCCCTGTGTCCCCTCCATGTACCCCTGTGTCCCCTCCATGTACCCTCTGTCCCCTCCATGTACCCCTGTGTCCCCTCCATGTACCTCTGTGTCCCCTCCATGTACCCTCTGTCCCCTCCATGGTACCCCTGTGTCCCCTCCATGTACCCTCCGTCCCCTCCATGTACCCTTCTGTCCCCTCCATGTACCCTCTGTCCCCTCCATGTACCCCTGTGTCCCCTCCATGTACCTCTCTGTCCCCACCGTGTACCCCTGTGTCCCCTCCATGTACCTCTCTGTCCCCTCCATGTACTCTGTGTCCCCTCCATGTACCCTGTGTCCCCTCCATGTACCCTTGTGTCCCCTCCATGTACCCCTGTGTCCCCACATGTTCCTGCAGGCTCAGTGATGGACCTGAACCCACGCAGTGAGAGGCTCTACAGCCAGGATCCCCCAAGACCGCCCTGTGTCCCAGTGTCGCCCCGCCCCAGGGGCCAGGCGGTCTCGGGTGTCCCCAGGAGGGGCAATGTCCCTGTGTCCTGCCCAGTTCCCCCCTCAGGTCCCCCTGGGGGGATCCCACAGCTGGAGGTGCTGCTGAGGCAGATGCACAGCCTGCAGAAAGGTGAGTGTGAGGAGCCCTGTGCTCCCCCATATTTCCATGTCCCACATGCCCTCCTGTGCTCCCTCATGTGCCTGCCACGTCCCCCTGTGTCCCATGCGTCCCTCTCTCTGTCCCACCGTGTCCCACAGTCCGTGAGACCACGGCACAGGAGCTGGTGAAGGCACAAGACTGCAGTGAGGGGTTGCGGCAGCACCTGGAGCAGCGTGAGTCACCTGGGGGGACACTGAGGGGTC